ACAATAACCCCCCTAAGTAACTCACCTCCCTTTCCCCTGCCCTTTCCTTAATTGAATGCCCAGGTCCCCTTCCTTACTTGTAATTTATCTGTATTCAGTTGATTTTTAAAAAAATTAGACTCCTCATTGTGAGATAACAGTAGGTTCACAAGCCGTTGTAAGAAATAATACAGAGAGATCCCATGTGCTCCTTATTCAGCTTCCCTGATGACAATTTCCTGCAAAACTGTAGTCTAATATCACAACCAAGATACTTACATTGGTAGAGTCAAGATATAGGACATTTCTATCACCCCGAGAATATCTCTTGTTGCCTCTTTGTAGCCACACCCTCTTCCTTTCTGCCCTTCCCCCTGCCCCTTACGCCCTTGGCAATCACTCATTTATTCTCTGTTTTTATAATTTTGTCATTTCAAGGATGTTATATAAAGTTTATATACATTTATAAAATGTTATATAAATTTCAATCTCCGGAGACTCATCCAGGTTGTTGAATGTATCAGTAGTTTAAACCCTTTTAATTGCTGAGTAGCATTCTATGGTATGGATGTACCACAGTTTGTTTAACCATTTATTTGTTGAAGGATATCTGGGTTGTTTCCAGTTTTAGTTTAGTTAGGAATAAAGCTACTATAAATATTCATGTGCAGGTTTTTGTGTGAGAACATGTTTCCATTTTTCTGGGATGAATGCCATGAGTGTAATTGGTGGGCCATGTGGTAGTTGTATATTTAGTTGTTTTATAAACAACAAAACTCTTTTTCTTTGGTGGCTGTACCATTTTATATTGCTCATAAACTAGGTATGAACGATCTAGTTTATCTGCATTCTTATCAGCATTTATGCTGTCACAATTTTTTATTTTAGCCATTCTGATAGGTATGTAGTGATAGCTCATTGTAGTTTTAATTGGCATTTTCCTAATGACTAACAATGTTGAACATCATTTCATGGGTTAGTTGCCAACTGTATATCCTCTTGGGTGAAATATTCGTTCATGACTCTTCTTCATTTTCTCATTGGACTTTTTTTATTGTTGAGTTTTGAAATCATATATTGTAAATTATTTATTCTAGATACTTTTCTTTGCTGGATATGTGGTTTACAAATATTTTCTCCAAGTCATAGGTTGTCTTTTTATCCTCCTAACAGTCTTTTGCAGAGCAAACGTTTTACATTCTGATGCGGTCCAATTTATCAGTTTTTTCTTGTATGGATTGTGCTGAGAACACTCTGCCTAGTTCTAGATCCTGAGAAGTTTTCCTATTTTTTTTTTCTAAAAGTTTTATAGTTTTACATTTAAGTTTTCAATCCATTTTGAGATAATTTTTATACAGGTTATGAGACTTCTCTCTCTCTCTCTCTCTCTCTCTCTCTCTCTCTCTCTCGCCTATGAATATTCTTTCCTCCACAGAATTGCCACTGAATAGCTTTTTGCACCACAATAAAAAATCAGTCAAGCATATTTGTGTGGGTCTATTTCTGGGTTCTCTAGTCTTTTTAATTAATCTATGAGTCTATTCTTCTATCAATACCACACAGTCTTAATTACTGTAGCTATATATCAAGTCTTGAAATTGGCTAGACTGATTCCTTCCACTTTATTTTTCTTATTAAAAATTGTTTTTAGCTATTTCAATTCCTTTGCCATGCCATAGAAATTTTAGAATAATCTTGTGTATCTACAAAAACTATTGCTGGCATTTTGCTAGAAATTGTGCTAAACCTGTATATCAATTTTAGCAACACAGCATGCCTCTTCATTTATTTATATCTTCTTCTTTTTTTTTTATCCTCACCTGAGGATATTTTTTCCATTGCTTCCCAGATTTCCAGAGAGAGTGAAAGGGAGGGAGGGAGAGAGGGGGAAAGAAACATTGATGTGAGACACACAGAACAGTTGCCTCCCCCACGAGCCCCAACTGGAGGTAGAGAGTGAACCTGCAACCCACGTATGTGCCCTTGACTGGGAATCAAACCTGCAACCCTTTTTTGCACAGGCTGGCGCTCTAACCACTGACCCATGCCACCCAGGGCTATTTATATCTTCTTTGATCTCTTATCAGCATTTGGTTGTTTTTAGCATATAAGTCCTGTTTATATTTTGTTATATTTGCACCTAAGTGGCTTTTTATTATAGAGACCTGGTACATGAAATTCGTGCACTCAGGAGGGTCCTTCAGCCCAGCCTGCACCCTCTCACAGTCCCGGAGCCCTTGGGGTATGTCCGACTGACGGCTTAGGCCCACTCCCAGTGGGCCTAAGCTGTCAGTCGGACATCCTTAGCGCTGCTGTGGAGGCGGGAGAGGCACTGCTGCTGCGCTCACCAGCCATGAACCTGGCTTCTGGCTGAGCGGTGCTCCCCCTGTGGGAGTGTACTGACCACCAGGGGCTGCTCCTGCATTGAGCATCTGCCCCCTGGTTGTCAGTGCGCATCATAGCAACTCATCATTTCGCCATTCAGTTGATTTGCATATTAGCCTTTTATTAGATAGGACTAGAGGCACAGTGCACAAAATTCGTGCATTGGGGGGGTTGTCCCTCAGCCCGGCCTGCACCCTCTCCAATCTGGGACCCCCTTGGGGGATGTCCGACTGCCGGTTTAGGCCTGATCCCACAGGATCTTTAAACTGGCAGTCGGACATCCCTCTCACAATCTGGGACTGCTCGTTCCAAACGGCTCGCCTGCCTGCCTGCCTGATTGCCCCTAACAGCTTCTGTCTGCCAGCCTGATCTCCCCCTAACCGCTCCCCTGCCGGCCTGATTGATGCCTAACTGCCCTCCCCTGTCTGCCTGATCTCCCCCAACTGCCCTCCCCTGCTGGCCTGATCGCCCCCAACTGCCCTCCTCTGCCAGCCTGATCGTCCACAACTGCCCTCCCCTGCTGGCCATCTTGTGGTGGCCATCTTGTGATGATGTTGTGTGAGGGCATCATGCGAGGGCCACCTAGGCATTTATTATATAGGATGGCATTCTATAATTTTGGTGCTCATTTTCTAGTATATAGAAATACAATGATTTGTATTTGATTATCTTGTGTTGTGTGACCTAGAAGTGTATATGTCAATTCTTTGGGGTATTCTACCACTATGTTATTTGGAAGTAGGGATACTTTTATTTCTTCCTTCCCAATCTTTATTTTTTTGCCTTATCACAGTGGCAGTACTATGTTGAAGAAAAGTAGTGAAAACTGGTATCTTGCCTTGTTCTTGGTCTTAGGGGGAAAGCCTTTAGTCTTTCACCATTAAATAGGATGTTAGTTTTAGGGTGGTTTTTTTTTTTGGTAGATGCTCTTTACCAAGTTTAAGAAGTTTATAGAAGAGCTCTGTGCGCTGGTGGGAGGGGTAGGAACAATTCCCATACCCAAAGGTGCACACTGGGCACTTCGTTTTCTAGCTTTTATTTGTTTGTTTGTTTATTTATTTATTGTCACCTTTTAAGGCCTGGGACCAATTATAGTGGGAGCAGGGATATTCAGATTATTTTATATTCACTAACAGGCCTTTAACCTCTTGATGAAAAAATAAGTTCCCGCGGCATAAAAGGAAGTATCACCTAAAGTTGTATAAGAATTTGTAAGTGGCACAGAAGTGCAGCTGGGCTGGGGGTGGAGGTCCCTTCCAGCTTAGCCTAGTGTCTGGAAACATAGCTTTTTGTCTTTGGCTGCTGAAGTGAAACCCATTTGTGATACTCTTTTGGAACCAAGCTTCTCTAGACGTCTTCCTTCACTGACTCTGCTTCATTAAAGACCTGTCGTTTAGGGAAATGTAACCTCAATGTGGAACGGCGTGGGTTTTAATCCAGCTGGAGCAGTTTGGGATCCTGGTTCTATCTTCCTAGCTGCATGACCTTAAAGTTCATTTATTTACTTAAAGACAGTCCTGTAGTGCCTACTTTGGGCCAACTACCATGCGGGGTTTTGGGAATAAAGTAGTAAGTACCTTTCGTTGTTCTATTTTCTTCATTTTCTAGCCTTCAGCAAGTTCAGCTGGTTTTACTTCAAACATATGTCCAAAATTGGACTACTTTTCTCCATCACCCCGTCTTTTCCTCAGGGTGTTATAATAAGTTTCCTGACTCTGTTCTTCCCTCTAATCCGCTGCCTCAATTCATTATGCAGCAGCCAGGGTGATCTTTTATAAACATACATCGGATTATTCTTTGGCTTAAAAGCCTCCGGTTATACTCAGACGTACTGAGAATAAAATCCAGTGCCTCTCCATGACCCACCAGGTCTTGCATGGTTTGGTTTCTGCTTCCTCTCTGAACTCAACTAGCGCCCTTCCCCGCTCATTTCGTGTGCTTCGGTCACATCAGACTTTTTTCTTTTCCCCAAAATACCCAGCTTGTCCTACCCTGGGTTCATGACACCAGTTATGCGCTCTGCCCGGGATAGTTTTTCCATATACGTTTGAATGGCTGGTTCCTTGTTGTCATTCAGATTTCAGTTCAAACACTCTCCCTCTCCTAATCCTCAAGTCACATTCCATCAAATCACTGGGTGTTCCATGCCGCTTCTTATTTAGCTCTTATCACAATTTGGAATTTCCTTGATTTGTCTACTAGCCCGAGCTCCGTGAGAGCTGGAACCATGCTGTTTCCTTCATTACTGTATGTCCAGTGTCCAGAACAGTTCCTGGCACAGAACACTACATATTTGTTGAGTGAAGCTATTTCATTCTCTTGAGCCTCAGTTTCTCACTTGTCACATAGAATAGTAATTGGCTAGTAAAATGAGGTTGTATTTAGAATGAAGTGAGATAATACATGTATGTTAAGTATTTATTACAATGCTTGGCACAGAGTAAGCTAAATAATAGTTTGCCGTTGTTTCATTGAGATTATTTATATTATAATGTTCACTTCCCTTCTCCCATACTCCTCTAGGATCTATTCTTGCACCCAATGACCCATCTGGAACGTCATGATGATTTGTCAGTGACAGATGCTTGCCATTAAATCCTAACTTAGTTCTCTCTTGGTCGTGTTTTTCTGTACAGGTGCTGCAGCTGGGCTCAGACATCCTTCCCCAATACAAGCAAGAGGCACCAAAGACTCCCCCTCACATCATCTTACATTACTGTGTTTTTAAGACCACGTGGGATTGGATCATCTTGATTTTAACCTTCTACACAGCCATCTTGGTCCCTTACAATGTCTCCTTTAAAACCAGGCAGAACAATGTGGCCTGGCTGGTTGTGGATAGCATCGTGGACGTCATCTTTCTGGTGGACATTGTGTTGAATTTTCACACCACCTTTGTTGGACCAGCTGGGGAGGTGATTTCTGACCCCAAACTCATCCGCATGAACTATCTGAAGACGTGGTTTGTGATTGATCTTCTGTCCTGTTTGCCATATGACGTCATCAACGCTTTTGAGAACGTGGACGAGGTTAGTGCCTTTATGGGTGATCCAGGGAAGATTGCTTTTGCTGATCAGATTCCACCACCCCTGGAGGGGAGAGAGAGTCAGGTACATCCCTCAAATCTCAGACCTTGTTGTCATGTCTTTAAAGTTGAATTAAATGTGGGTGGTGAACCGAAGAGTAATTAATGGGTGGGAACTAGCATGATGATGTCTGGAACAGAGGGAGCATGCTTGATAGCTATCCTTACCCACTGTTCTTGCCTTTGGAGGTTCAGGGGTTCTGCATGTCAGTGAATGGTGTGGAAGAGACCAAAGGCTTCCCTTTCACTCCACGTGGAGCGCATGCTATTGGCTCAAAGGTGGTGGGGCTGCAGAAACAGGCATGCGTTGCCACTGCATTGCTGAATCTTTCACTCTGTATGCATTTGCTGGATGTCTACTTATTGATTATGTTAATTACGGGGACTTTCTATCATCTGTCGCTGACCTTTGGCTGTTTCATTTTAATTAACTCCTAGCAACAAGGATGCTATTTTCTCCTAAGTTTGCTTGCTTATTTATTTATTTAATCTTGGAGGGGGAGGGGTAAATGTGGGGAAGAAATGAGTTGCTTCTTTGCTAAACTGAGTTTTGGAGGTGACCAGTGGCATTCAGGTGTCCGTACTTTCCCTGGCCTAAATTTGCTGAGAGAGTCAGGCTGTAGCTAAGAGGAGTAATGTTGTTACTAGATTACCCTGCTATTGGATGGTTAGTCCTGCGGGCAATGGCAGGAATTAAAGAAAAAAAAAAGCCTGCAAATGCGTTAGAATCAGGACATGGGTACACAGTCAGTGAATGGATGTCTGGGACATGTTGTAGCAGGAAGAGGCCGCTGGGCTGGTTAAAGTGATTTCCTCCTTTGAAAAAGCAAGTCATTGCAAAGGAAAACATCAGATTCTTATCTAGTTTGTGTCCTACTGGAATGGTTCTTTCTTTTTCCTGCTCCTTGGTTGACACTCCAGATGGATTAAGATAAGGCAGTTCATCTGGCAAATCTTCAGCCCCAGGCAGCAGTGGACCCTCATGGCCTGAGACTACAGAGGGTCCCAGAGGTGTTTTCCTGGCTGACCTGTTTGTTAGCTGGGTAGGTAGTTTAGGATGCCATTGGAGGCTGAGTCAGGCAAGATCTACTCTAAGGTACATGGCTAGTGGGGCACAGTCTTGGGATAGTCAGAAGGGAGCAGTCAGCTCCCTGCCAGGATAATGAGGCCTGGCCAGTGACTCCGTGTCTCGATGGTGGCATATCTCTGCCTTCAGATTGGTGCCAGCAGTGGGCGAGGGCTGGGGCTCTTCCTCTGTGAGAACCCAACCACTGTACCTACCACATCTCCTCCCAGGAAAGAGGAGCTGGAACTTAGATCCTCTAGACTCAGAACAACCTCCGCTTTTATCTGTGTGGTGTGTTTTAATATACTTTAAAATCCCAAGGAATAATTCTCCAGGTGGCTTGTGTGGATTTTGTAGGGGGAGTAAATGAGTTGAAACTGATCATTTACAAGAACAAAATCACCCCGAACGTGAATATGGGGATTCTTAAATGTGAATTTTAGTACATGTTGGGAATATTTTTCTCGGTGAATACATTTCTAGAAAATTTTATGTTAGTGAGGAAAATATGATCATTTTGGCTTAGATAATTCAAATGAATTATTTCAACCTAAAAGAGCTCCTTATACACACATATGGGAAATGAAATTTAACTTTAAAAAACCATTTGGGTTTTTTAATTAAACCATTTACTATTTATAGCAATGGCATTGAAGTTTCGCGAATAAATAGAACCATTCTTCGGCTTCCACAGGTCTTATTAAACGTTGGCAGAGCTATAAACACTTATGTAAATGTGTCAAGATTACCTTGTAGGCTGACAGGGCAGAGAGCTTCTTCCCAGGCACTGTGAATGTTGGCTTGGAACTCCTTTGCCATTAATTGTGAATACCCCTGACATGGTTTCTGATTCCCAGACTCATGAACTAGATTGCAGGCACTAAAAACATCATTTATCTGTAGGTTTCTAGTTGGCAAAGGGTTTAGCATCAAAGCTCTTACTGCCATCTCTTGATCATAAATAACAATATACATATTAAGGTACTATAGCTATGATTTGCTTCTGCAAACACTTGATTTCACATTTAGAAATTCCTTTTAAAGCAGTGACTTACATCTGAAATAATGCCTTTTCATAACAATTGTGGTGGTGTTGGGGGAGATCGGTGTGAGGAAACTGAAGATTTGGCTTCCGGTCCTCTTGGGGTCACCTATTGGGACAGATGAGAGCCTTGTGAACAACATTTAGCCTTCCTGGATTAGTTTTCCTCCCTACATTTTGGGGCTGATGCTACCTTACCTGCCTCAAAGCATGGCACTCAGTCAGTGGGTTGATTATTTGAGTTCCCCACCAGCTGCAAAGCCTGTTGAGTTCTAACATCTCATCTGCATTAGTCTCACCTCCAGACAGGTGGTAAAAATGAGAGGCCCACCACACTGACCTCCTGGTGATGGGAAGAAGGTGGGGTGATATGAGGGCATTTAGAAGGTTAAGATAGGTAGACCAACTGGAGAGTCCAATGGGACCATAGAGGTCATCCAATTTGAACACTCTTAACTCACAAATGAGGAAACACACTCAGGGAATCTGACTCACTCATGTTGGCACAGCAAATGGTCACAATAATAATGAGTCCTCTTCTGATTTTTCTCTGTTCTTAACAGTGACAGATCTGATAAAAGTGGGATGAAACACTGACGGATACAGTTGAGTCAACACTCACCGAGAAGCTCCTGATGTGTATGGCTCACCCCTTGGCTTGGGTGTTGTGGTGGGGAACTTGGGCACTGGGTACAGAGAAGTGGGCATCTGCGTTTTCCCCAGAGCAACTACGTTAGTGATGAGATGGGCAGTTTGAGAGGCTCACGGAGGGAGAGACCAGCACGGTGTTGCAGGCACAGGCCTTTTTGTTAAAAGGCATCATTAAGTTAGTGGGCGTGAAAGGCTGGTGGGGCTTAGGGGCTGGAGAGGTTCTGAAGGGCACACCACCTGTCGAACCTGGATAAGGCTGGCGGACATTAGCCTCACTGGAGAATCCTGACTAAGGGCTCAGTGGGTTCACATTCACCACATGCTGTCTTCTCACCACGCTCCGTTGTGGAGCCACTAATCTGAGATGGCAGTCCCCTCTGTTCTAGGTCCTTTGTCTGGGAGACTGAGGGGAGAAAGAAGAAATTATTGACTCATTTCTCATAGAAAATACATGGAGTCCTCCTAAGTATGCCAATGGATTTGTGTCCCAATGGAGACCACCAAAGAAGAGGCAAAGGAGGTGTGGTGGCTTTGCCATCTGTGTGTGTGCGGTTGGGTTGTGGGTGTGGTGTTGGGGTGGGGGAATCCTGAAGTTCAAGGATGAGACCCACCCAAATGGCTAAAGCCAGCAATTGTGAATTCAGCCCTGTGGAGATAGCCCGTCTCCATGATTTAAGCCACGCAAATGATCCCTTCTGGCTCAACTTGTTTCGCTTATGTAGATGGCCTACATTTGCGTCATTCTCCAGTCTGTTGGTAATAATCTGTTTTGGAGGCTGTTTGGGAATATGTTTGCATGTAAGTTAAACTGGTTAGAGGACAAAAGGTCCGGAAACTGGGTGAACTAGAGCTTGGGATGGGTATGCCGAAGCAAGAGCCAAATGAGGGTTATTTCAGCATTCTGTGGACGATTGGCCTGGTGTCCTTTATGAATTAAAGATGGAATTATCATTCACAAACATAGTCCCTCTCCTAAGGCAGTCATGTTGCTTATTGCCATTGGAGTGTGGGAGTGCAAAGGAGAGAATGGAGACAATCATACTATCTCCCGGGGCTTGGGATCAAGAGCTTCCTTCTGTCCTTGGCTCTGTAACCTCAGACAGCAGCACCACCAGCTAGTCCTGGTGACATAGCTGACACTTGCCAAGAGTCCATTCACACGGGAGGTGCTCCTTAGGGCAGAACTGGACTGAGGCATGCTAATGAAAAGGTAACAGCTCTGACCACAGACAACTCCCTTTCATCCAGAACTCCTCCAGTATGAGAAGATTTCTGAGAAGATTTGGGTTAGGTAGATTATAGAAGACTTCCCAGGAAATTAAAAAAATAAAAAAGAAGAAGCTGGTTTAGGAAGGTGTTGGAAGAGGGGTGGACCTCTGGTGAGTGGGGAAAGGAAAAGGACCACATGAAAGCAGAAAAAACTAAGCTCATGGTATTGTATATGGAGCTGGGGGAAGTTTTCTTTGCTTAAATCTTTATTTGAGAATTAAGACAGATGCTAGTGAAAAATTAGCCAGTCACTTGTTAATGAATCTCTTAACTCAAGTGAAACTCTCAAAGGGCAACAGGAGGTCCATGATCTGACTCTAATTGATGAGAGCCCTGATTGGCAGTTTGTGTCGGAGCCGTGCAGACATCTCCATCTTATGATTTCTTCATATGTTATCATGTGATGTTTAACTCCGGAGGCCACATGTTAGCTTCTAAGACAGAGTGCTTCAGGCTTCAGAGGAGAAATATTTGGCTTCAAGGATGTGCTTCCAAGTGAAGCAAGGCTAATGGGTACATTTGAGAGCCTCTGAATCTTTAGAAAAACAATTGTTTCCTTATAAGTTTTTACATTTTGCCTGTAAAAACTTAGAAAATATAGATGAAGGAATAAGCCTTGCCTATAATTTTATCTCATTGTTAACATTTTGGTATACAGTGCCTTCACTTAACGTTGCCCATAGGTTCTGTGACTTTAAGTGAAATGATGTATAAAAACCAATTTTACCGTAGGCTAATTGATATAAACAGGAGTTGAGTTCCTACTGCATCTCATCAATGTTATTATAAAATGACATTGAACAAAATGATGTTATTTGAGGACCTGCTATATATTGTTCAGGGTTTTTTCCTTGGAATATGTGCATATATATGTTTACATGTATTTTAGCAAAATGGAATTATACTGTACGTAGTG